CCTCGCAGCCCCCGAGCCGGTTCTCTAGCATTTTACAATATAACAAAAAATCCGAGAAGAACAAGGCAGCGGCCGCAAATTCAAGTTCACGCTCAGAGTTCAAGTCCGAAGCAGATCACGGCAGCTCTTTATTGAAAGCAAAATGACTACCTTCTTCCTTCATGGGACAGAGAAAGCTCAACCCAGGGATACCCCCCTCCCCCTCCTTCCTCCCGCGATGCTGCCTAAAATGACGGGGTCCCCCTTTTCGCCGCTGAGCCAGCCCAGGTCTACAGAGACAGCTAGTCTTTAGGGAACGGAAAGAGTTAATCACGGCTTCTTTTAAATGCATATAAGCCCATCGGAGCCCCTGACCGTGGGGAGAACTAGTGCCTGCTGGTCTAGCCAGAGACTTGTTAGAAGCCTGCCCCCCGCACCTCCCGCCCCAAGGAAATAAATCGGGAAAGAGGGGGAAAAAAGAGACACAAGGAAAAATAAATAGAATTAACATATATTTTCGGAAGGGTCTAAAATACGTACAAATCCCGTTTTATGTCTTCCCAATCACGTGTATATTGATATCATAAAAGAGAAATCCTCCGGCAGGCTTTTGCTCTAAATACCTTACTCATTGAAACTGGCAGTTCCAACTCATTATTCCACTCCCTTAAACCCGATTCTGATGCTGGCTAAATATAGAGCTTCGCCTTCATGGCAACGCGAATCGAATACACAGTAAGCAAATCAGTAGCACAGGAGGGGGAAAAAAGAGGGTTGATCAAAGACCTCCTTTCCTTCCCAATCCCGGTTTGTCGGGGCGGAGACAGGTTTCTCGCTTATTGCACATCATTTACAAAGATCGAGTTAAAATGCAATCACCTCTGCCAGAAGTATGAAAAAGTGGGGGTTGAGAGTGTAATAGAATTAAAACCAGATCGCCTTTATTTTTGAACAATGGTGTTGCACTGGAAAGCAGGAGTTGCCTTTCAGAGCTGGGCTCCTGAGCGCGATCTGAGTCCAGTTCAGTCAGAACTAGCAAGGATGTGGCCATGTGTGGGGGAAGAAATCTTGGGGCTGGACCCGAAAATACCCGCTTTAACCAAAGCGCTTATAAATCCGCAACAATGTTGTATGTAATAACGATCGGGAGCATTTTTAAAGTGCCACATGGTTTTATATTTCTAGCCTTTCCCAGGTTTTTATCACGCAGGAAGTTCATGAATACACCCACCTCCAAAGCGGTGATTTTGACCCTATGGAGAAATACACAAAAGGTCAAAAAATGTGCCTGTGCTTGTGACATTTGGGGGCTGAATTCCTCCTTTCAACCACAAGAGGTCGCTGCTGTGACCGAGTATTTAAAAATATTATCTAAACTCTAAACTGTTAATCGCTGCTTGATTTATTCTACTACCACATTTTAAAGCTTTATTTTTGTTTTGCTTTACATACCTAGGGGTGGAAATGCGAGAAGCACAGAGCTAGAGATGACTGTGAACAGGAGAATCAATCCAGGATGGGGGGAGGAGGGGAAGGATTGAGCGTAAAGCTTATCAGATCAAGGTGTTAACATTTTTATTACGATTTTACACTTATTTTACGTTCAGTAGGTGTGCAGTGGCTTGAGAATCTGTTTCCCAGAGAGCAAACTCTTCCAAACACTGAGGACTGAGGCAGGCTTTCCCTATCCGGAACTGTCTATAGGTTGGACATGCATCTTTAACAGTCAGTTATGGAATGTCTCCTACCAGGTTTTAAGACTGGATCATTAGGGAATCTGTGTTTACAGGACGTGCGTGGGTTGACAACAGGAGATAACATTGTTTCAGTCTATTGTAGTGAAATTGCCCATTACTAAAGGTTTACCCCTGCCACATGCCAGCTTGTCTTTTGGAATTGCCCTCATCAGCAATAATTCTTGGTAATTGCTTATTGGTTTACAGAGCTAAAACAGCGCAAAGTGAGAGGAGAAAGGAAAGTCTCGCGGGTTTCAAGAAGTGCAATGAATGCCTATTAGTTGCAGCTCCCATGTCTTTGCATGCTGAATCCTTGAGGCGTGTGTGTTGGCAACACCACCTTTGCCTTCTGACATGATCCTGAGACAATTTCACGACAGTCGAGGAAGTTGTCTTTACAGGAATGTTCCTCTTTTTATTCAAAATATGCATTTACCCCCTGACCACTGCAAATTAAAGCATCTTTCATACTAAGGATTCGGAAAAGATCCCGTGTTCGGTAGGACCATCCTCATCACATTTAAGTTTAATAAGTCTGGGGGGCTATTTCAGAGTGAGACAATTTCCACGTGCGCACAGACAGACACACATTTTCCAGTTACTCCTTTCTCTCTTACTCGCGCCTCTGTCTTGTCAATTTTCTGTCATAAGCAGGACTTTGAAAAATATTTTCCTAATAAATACTATTTGGAAATCCTTTTTTTTTTAGAAGGCACTCGGGTATTATGGTGAGATGAACCCGTATAAAAGAGGACAGAAACACGGATTAGAGGCAAACATTGCATGCCATACTGCTTCTTTTGGGATCCCAGAGTTATAACGGTTTGAAGAGGATACGGATTCTCATGCAAAACAGACAAGCCGGTGATCAAAGCCTGGACTTTGGAAATACACAAAAGTAGCAGGCATCTTACAATATAAAATAGAATTGTGTCTGACTGGGTTTGAAAGCTTTTAAATAACCGGCAGTCAAAGTATTAAGCTAATAGCTCCTTAAGTCACTTCAGTTGCCTAAGAAAGGCAATGAGTGGAGGTCTAGGTGTACCTGTCTACAGATGTGCAAAACCGGGGGGCTCACAAACAATGCCATGGGGGACCTTCTGAAAAGTGTTGCTGAGATCCCAGTTCCCTGGAATAAACTAAAAGAACTCTCCATATTTCTCAGATTTAGACCTGCCATGTCACCTCCACAACTTGCTTGTGAATCCAAACACAGGAGAGACTTACTTTTTTTTAATCATCAGTTTAAAAATGTACTATGTAGAGAAAGACAGGCGTTCTTGGCTCTGCTGCTTGTGAACATGCATTCTTGTTCAACCTGTGAACATGTCTATAAGCATGGGCTGAATTTCTGAATTTTTAAGCAGAGACGACCTAAAAAGGGGATTTGAAAAGACAGTAGTAGAACAGAAGGGGGTCAGGTAAATATTTGCACCTTCTTGGAACTTGTGATTAATCCGGGAAGGTTTTTTATTCACAGTTTTAAAGGAAAAAGGGGGGGGGGGGGGGGGGGGGGTGGGAAGGCAGAGGCAATTAAAGCTTATTTCTGTAGCTGAATACAGTTAGCATTTCTTTTCAGCCCTCGGAACAGTTAGGTCGGTGTAATCAAGCTGGGACAGTTTAAGGTAGAAAAGGTAGCTGCCAGGAAGGGAAATAGCTGGATTTAAAAATCCCCCCTCAAAGATGGCATTAGAAACATGGCATTGGAAATAGGCACCCCGCCTCCCGCCCCCCCCTTGGGAAGACACGGAGCGAATGAAAGGTGCGCTAGGAGATCAGAAGGAGCAATGAAGAGGGGTGACAAGCCCCAAGTAGAAAGGGAAATACAAATGAGGAGTAAAAAAAAAAAAAAAGTTCCCTCTGCATCCGCGAGCCTTGCGCGGCAGGGCTTCCAGGGGCTCTGGAGAGACTGAAATATGATAATCAGAACAGCTGCTCGGTGCCGCGGCCGGCCAATCAGGGCCCCGCAGGCTTGACGTCCCCGCGCTGTGCGTCAGACCAATGGAGATCGAGCTGAGTTGGAGCAGAGAAGTTTGAGTAAGAGATAAGGAA